GCCTTGGGCAGAAAAGGTTTAGGGTTTAGGGTTTAGGGTACAGGGGCCGGGTAAGATCGGGCGATTGCATCTTTTCTTCGGGGGCTGAATGCCCCAGCCCCAAAAAGGTTAATTGTTACTTGTAAGAGGATTGTATGTGCATATATATATATATATAACAAAAAAAGGTTAAAGGTTAACTACCCAGCCCCGAAGTTTGGTATCACACGATGGCACCTTCAACACAAAGCAAGGGATTCATTTTCCGGACATTCGCTACTAGCTATGTCAAACCAAATACAAACCAAATACGATGGTGTCACGCAATTCTGGAACGCATGGCAGATATAGGATTCCTTGAGCGGCAGACATTCAGGCCTGATCGTTAAACCAGGTTACGGATGAACTAAGCCATTGGCAGCAACTGGTTGAGCTTGCAAATTATACAAGCGCTGCAAGGATCCAGCGAGATAGCAACAGCTCCAGAATTAGTACCCTTTCTAGGGGGTTCCTGTAATAAAGAATACAGCATTCTGGGATACGTTCGGAACCCAAAACCCGAAACCCTAAACCCCACATACTTTTCCCACTCGGTCAGGAAGCTTTCATGCACATACTGATTCCGTGGAACGGCAGGGCGACGGCGACTCGGCACGTGCGCGTGTCATCTCCTCGTTCCGGAGGCCTTAACATATACAACCGTATATTACAAATTACTACATACAATAATGACAATATTAATCAGAAGAACTAGTAAAATGCACATATTTATGTAATGTCTACACGTGCAATGTCTTAATTCTATGCATATATCTATGTATATGTATAGCTAGGCATCTGTTCACATATGTGACCCGTAGGACTTTCGGGGAAGGCCCCGTGGCACGCATACTGCTGACAACGATTGTGAGGTTTTGGTTTGGCGTTGGAGGTTTCGGGTTTCAATGACCGACCCGTATGAAGGCTACCTCGTAGCTACAAAGCACCCTAAACCCTAAACCCTAAACCCTAAACCCCTAACCCCTAAACCCTAAACCCTAAACCCTAAACCCTACACCCTAAACCCTAAACCTTAACACAGCGCTAAGGCTCTCCACGCCGAGGCAAATAACCCACACTTTCAATGTGCACGGGTGGCCAGGCTCACGCCAGGAAAGAACTTCTTGAAATACCAGAAATCCCACACTAGGTTGCCCAGTAACCCAGGATGAAAAAGGGTGCCCTTTTTTGCTTAAAGGGGTTTATAAGGGAACCTAAACCTACCAAAAAGGGAATAAGAGTACTACTGGGCATCCTAGCACATGTCCAAGCCTGTTGACCATGACCCCAACACATCACCTCGACATCAACTTCTGCTAGTCTGGAGAGACGCCAGCTACTTGATCACAGGGTCAGTCTCTCAACCGGGCTGTCCACGCGGGCAGAGGAATTGAGAGGAACTCTTAAAAAGCGAGGAGGCTTGCGCACCCTTGCCGTTCTCCGGCCAGCAGTGCACGTTGCTAGGTGCAGCATCAGTAGGTCTGTAGGCCACTCGACGTAGCACAAATTGGGTCAGCTTGGCGTCCGTCTTTGGCTGCGTAAGTGCCTGGCTCTCCTCCAGTTGAAACTGTGTGTGAAGCCGCAGGTCAGCAGCTTCACGTGCGCTCACATCTCCAGATCCGAGAAGCTCGGGAAATACTGGAACTTCTTCTGAGTAGCTACCATGCCGATGCTTTGAGTTCAGCTTTGGAGACCCAAAACCCTAAACCCTAAACCCCAAATCCTACACACTAAACCCTAAACCCTAAACCCTGAACCCCAACCCCTAAACCCTGCCCCCTAAACCCTAAACCCTAAGCCCTGCAACCCCCAAAGTCGTGGCGCATCCTCACTTATGAGCTGTGAAGTGCAACAGTACTTGGAGGTCATGGGTGGCTTTCAGAACCCTAAACCCTTTTCACAACCCTAAACCCTAAACCCTAAACCCTAAACCCTACACCCTAAACTCGAAAACCCTAAGGGGTTTAGGGTTGTTTGGGTTCCTGGAAACCCGCGACTTGAGGGACCAGGAGCTGGCGGCTGCTCTAAGCTACCAGGGCGTGAACTGGCTTCCAAAAAGGGTCCCGGTGTGCGGGTCCATTTAACTTAGGGTTTAGGGTTTAGGGTTTAGGGTTTAGGGTTTAGGGTTTAGGGTTTAGGGTTTAGGGTTTAGGGTTTAGGGTTTAGGGTCTAGGGTCTAGGGTCTAGGGTTTAGGGTTTGCTGTGATAGGGCGTAGATGCTGTGAAGGTTAGGTTTTGGAACAAGCTCGCGACCTTCGTGAGGCGCGAAGAAGGCGCGAAGAGCAGCTTTGGCCCGATTATGGAAGGCCATCTAGCACTTTTCTCCCACCCCACGCCGTCCGAGGCAGCAAAGCCGCCCAAAACTATTCCTTTCAGGGTTAGGCCGAAACTCAAGCCCACTGCTTACTGTCCATAAACCTTCTTCATTCCGCCATGGTGGTCGCCAGCCTGGTTCAAAATGCAGGTTCACAAAAACGGCAACCCTCCACAGGCAGAAGTGCAGAAAGGCCCAGGTGGAGTCCAGGAGGGCCTAGGGGGGGCAGGGGGGCTGCGGGAAGCCAGGAGACCCAGGGACCCACAAGGGCTGGAGGGCAGGGGGGTCCACAGGGCAGGGCCCCTGCAGCGAGGTGCCCCCTGAAAATTGCCCCCTCCAGCAACAGGGGTGGGGATTTAGGGTAATTACTTTTGAGGAGAACGTGCTCGGGTGCCGAGGCCCATCGTGGGTGCTCCCGAACCCCGAGCTGCGGGAGGCGGGCGAACGACCTGGCGCGCCGCACCCCACCGTAGGGGGGCGGCCTAGGCCTGAGTTTAGCGAAATGAAAATGGGTCTACGACATTCTTGGCCAGGGGCGGGGGGGGGGGGGGGCCCCTGTTTTTGGAAAACTCTCGAAACAATGGCCAACCCAAGCCTTTTAAAGGAGCTGCCAAGAGGCCTTCTCGGTCAAACACTGAGCCGAAGCAGCCGAAGCGGCGGACCAGGCGTCACAGCAAAAATGCTGTGACCAGGGCAAAGTGTGTCTGGGGTCATGGTTTTTTGCCTATACCCTGAGGGTCTAGGGTTTAGGGTTTAGGTTTAGGGTTTAGGCCCGAAATCCTAAACCCTGACATGGGTATAGGGCTTAGGGTTTGAGGCCCCTTCTGGTGATGTCTACTTCTGGTCCGCCAGTTCTGGCTTGAGAGCTTCTCAGCAACACAGCAAGGGAAGTGTAAAGCAATTCAGGGCATGGCTCCGAGCTCAATGCCCTCAATAAATAAATGAGGCTTCGAAGTCTTAAAATATTCAACCTTGGACCAGCAGACACTGGGCTGGATTGTTCCGGGCATCTTTTTGAGTCAATAACAGTGCATTGCAGAAGCTGTGAGCAGCCACTTGGCTTGGAGCTACAATAGGTCTGAGGCAGCCTGATGAAATACCTGTGGCAAAAGCCAAGCCCAGGCCGTTGTCAGCTGCTCCGGTGCGGGTCTCACACAAAGTCTCCGGCGTTTGGGGGTTTAGGGTTTAGGGTTTTTTAGGGTTTAGGGTTTAGGGTTTAGGGTTTAGGGTTTAGGGTTTAGGGTTTAGGGTTTAGGGTTTAGGGTTTAGGGTTTAGGGGAATGGTCCGCCGAGATTTCGCTGAATGGCATGGCTGCGATGACAAGGCAACGGCAATGTCCGACAAATCCAGCGACGGTTTTCTAAACCCTCAACCCTAAACCCTCAACCCTAACCCGAAACCCTAAAACCTAAACCTAAAACCGAAACCCGAAAGCGTAAACCCTAAACCAGAACCCTACAACCTAAACCTAAACCTAAGCCTAAGCCTAAACCTAAACCCTAAATCCTAAGCAAGTGGAGGGGCTCCTCAGCAAGGCGGTGAACTCCCCCCTGCACTGAGGCAAGGGAACCGGTTCACTTCTGGCTGGGAGATGGCGTTCGCCCTGGAGACTCTTTGCCAGACATCCGGGAGGATCCAAAAAGAAGAACCACCCAAATGGTACACTGTACTACTTTTGGGCCATTTTTAGGAACCCCTCAGATAGGATCTACTGTTTGGATCCTTCCTTGGGGTCTGGGGACCACATTGGGGGGCGTTGTCTCAATTCCTGGTCCTCCTGTTTTGGGGCTTCCTGGATGCGGGCTTAAGGTATCCTAAGCACAAGGCTCCGTATGAGAAAAGGAGCCCCCAAAAGGACCACGGAACTAGAGAACTGCCCGTCATGACTGAGCTAGTCTCTTGCTGAAAGCCATGCTGGGTCAAGTCCAGCTAGAAAGGTGCGAACCGATCGGGACGATGGACAGCAGCAAGTGACCAACCATTCCGCCCCATTCAGCTGCCAAATTTCGAGACCCGATGCCATCCCGATGCCACAAGGGAGACATTCCATCCCCAAACCCTAAACCATGAAACTGGGTAGCCACGTCCCATTCGGTCGGCTCGTGCAGAAAATTATGGATCAGATGTTTGAAATGCGCCGGCCACGCAAGCCAGGACCTCGTCCGACATGCCAGCACTTTTTTAGAAGTAGTTTCACGCGACCTTCACACAGGCACACGGCAGTGTCTGATGTCGAGGTTACGGACTACGGGGTTTAGGATTTAGGGTTCGGGTTTATCGTTCAGGGCTTAGGGTTCAGGATTTAAGGCTTAGGGCTCAGGGTTTAGGGTTCCTAGCAAGATCATCGCCATTTTAGGAAGATCACAGTCTGCATCTTGCAGAGCGAGCCTTTGGTGACGGCCCTCCTGGTAGGAATATTCCCAAGGACCCCACGATCCCTCAGTCAGGAGTATACTATTCCATAAACACCACATCATGTGGGTATTTCCCAAGATAGGGGTACCCCTTCGATACCCCAATAGAATAGAATCCCCTTAAGGGGACCCCCGAAAGGGTACCCCGAATTTCGGAAACCCCCCAGATTAGGATCCCGACTACAATTACTGCCACTTCAGGAATAGTAAGGGATATTGAGTTGGAGTCGCTGGGTAACTGCTTGGTCGCTCCTCACAACATCATCTTAGAGAAATGGTTGAACGTTGCGCGTCTTGCCGCCACCGCCGTCTCGAACTCCCGTGGGTGACTCTCAACATCCTGGAGGTACTGATCCAGTTTCTTGACCTTGAAGCACAGAGTTTTTAGGGTTTAGGGTTTAGGGTTTCAGGTTGAGCGTGATGCGCATGCTTTTCTACTATTGTGACACTTGCACGCGCTTCAAACCCCAAGCCTCCTTCGACCCTCCCCCTATCCTGGTCCTAAGGGCCCCTAGACCCTCGAACTCACGCGCCGCATCAGCAAAGGGACATAGAGCTTGTGCGTTCCAAAGTCCGGCGCTTGATTGGCCTGTGGCAAGGGCAGGACCTTGTTGGATATCACTGTTCCTGGAGCCGCCAGAACTGGGTCCACCGCCATGCTGGATGTGCATCCCATAACTTGGGGAGGGGCCTAACACAAAGGGAGCACACAGCTTGATCCGGAAACTGGCAAGGAAAGAGCTAGCTATCTGAAGCCCTAAGATCTATATACCCCAAACCCCAGGCTCGCAACCCCGTCTCCATTCTTCAAACCTACCTATCCTGAAAACCCTATGCCCTAAACCCCAAACCCCAAGCACAAAACTCCACTGTCGACTGGCAGTTAAGCCTCCCATCCACTCTGTGCACGATCCAGTAGCAGGCTGCAGAATCCCTTCCCCAAGCCAGTGGGACCTAGTTGAGCAGAAGCCTGTTGGGTTTAGGGTTTAGGGGTTAGGGTTGAAGGTTTTGTACAGTACTAGAGAGACGAGAAGGGGACGATCTCATGCAGGTGTGCTGGCACTGCCCTGGTCGGAAGGCCATCTTCATGCTAAGTGGGGGTTTACGAAAACAAGGGACCCCCTACGTAATCTAGACCCCCAAAATAGTAGGGTTCCCTTATGAAAAGGACCCCCCAATAAAGGTACCCCCGAATTTGGGGAACACCCAAGTTGCTTCGATGGCCAGCAACTTGGGGATGTTCCCCCTTATACGAGAGGTCCTTACTAGGGATTCTAATGGGGGGGGGGGTACTATAGTTACGACAATCGCTATTAAGGACTGTTAGTATAAGGGTTACTAGGGATTCTCATGACGGGGTACTATAGTCACCACAATCTCTCTTAAGGACTGTTAGTTTAAGGGGGAAAAACCCCACAAACCCTGCAACTCAGGGCCGAGATCCCCGCGCATGCAGGGCAGAAGATTCTGGCCTGCAGGGCTTCTGCTGTTAGGGTTTAGGGTTTAGGGTTTAGGGTTTAGGGCTTAGGGTTTAGGGTTTAGGGTTTAGGGTTTAGGGTTTAGGGTTTAGGGTTTAGGGTTTAGGGTTTAGGGTTTAGGGTTTAGGGTTTAGGGTTTAGGCTTTAGGCTTTAGGCTTTAGGCTTTAGGCTTTAGGCTTTAGGCTTTAGGCTTTAGGCTTTAGGCGTTAGGCTTTAGGCTTTAGGCTTTAGTGGCGGGTTTAGGGTTTAGGGTTTAGGGTTTAGGGTTTAGGGTTTAGGGTTTAGGGTTTAGGGTTTAGGGTTTAGGGTTTAGTGGGTGTTTGGGGGAACCAAGGCACAACAAAACAGTCGCCCGCTAACTTACCATAGCAGTCTCTGCCCTCCCATGAATTAGGCTTGCGCTTTCCTGTGTTGAGGACTGAAGAAAACACAAACATGTTGCACAGCTTTTGCGACGCCCTCGACATGAATGGTGCAGTGAGACTTCTTGAGACGGTTTGGGTTAATTGTAGGCTTACATTGTTCTCCTAGTTGCCATTCTATACTTCCTTTTACTATTGTATGAACAGAATGGTAATGGTACTCTATTGTAGGGGTGCGGCGGGAGAGGGGGGGGGGTGCAAGTTGGGGGTGGAGGGAGGAACCCTTCAAAGGCCAAAGCTTAGGCCTTTCCGCGATAAATGGTTGCAAAGGAACAACTAAGGCAAGCCAGCTGAAGAGCTATTTTGTCGCGACAACCGAGAGGAACCCGAGCAGATCCCAGAAGCACTGAAGCTCTCAACCCCAAGCCTGAAGCAGATTTTGAAAAGCAACATCAACACCGGCAGAACAGTGCTTAGTGCAATTGGGAGTTCAGAGTTTCGGGTTTGAGATTGTGGTACATGAGTTCTCGGTGCACTTGCTGTCCTTTCCTGGCCCACCACTTACGACCACAGGCTATGCCACACAAGGTGTGTCATCAGCAAAAAAACCCATCAAACCGGTTTACATAACATGCTTGCCACATCTACAGGACCCAGTCATCCACATTTGCTACACTTGGTTCTGGAACGCAACTGCCTGTTTCACTTGGTTACTCACAAAAAAAAGTCACACGAGGGGTCAACACAAACTGCAGCAGAGATCGGGTACAGCAATACGAGTGTGCAGCACGTCAACATGCTCACGCAGAGTCAGAATAGCAGTTTAGGGTTGAGGGTTGAGGGTTGAGGGTTTGGGGTTTAGGGTCCTTCCCAGGAAGCATGTGCGATGGACTTCCAATCTGGCAGCACTGCGCCAGAATGCGCAGGAACTTACGTAGCAGGGGTACCCCGCAACTCCTGCAGTCTGCTTCCCCCTACGATGGACAAGTGCAGGTCCAGTACAAATTCACAGATGTCCAAAAGAAAGATAACCCTAAACCCTAAACCCAAAACTCTAAACCCTAAACTCTAAACCCCTAAACCCTAAACCCCAAACCCTGAACCCTAAGATTACAGTCCGGCTGGTCATGGCGTGCGAAGCCTCCCCAGCACGTGCCATTGAAGAGGGCATCACCTCCACAGTTTCTTCTGGTTCTTTCTAGCCAAGTTGGCGACTTCCGAAAATAGGGGTACCGGGATTCTATCTATTTGGGGTATAAGAGGGGTTACCCCGATTTTCGCAGACCCCCAAGTTGCATCTTTTTGGGTAAGCTTTGAAGGGTCCGTATTCAAGTCATCGGAGTCCCAGCCGCTAAGTTGCGACAAAACAGCTCGGATCCAAGCGGTTTAGGGTTTAGGGTTTAGGGTTTAGGGTTTAGGGTTTAGGGTTTAGGGTTTAGGGTTTAGGGTTTAGGGTTTAGGGTTTAGGGTTTAGGGTTTAGGGTTTAGGGTTTAGGGCGGGCTTGTTGGGCTCGTATCGATGCATGGGGCGCGAGATGTGGGACCAGCATGAAACTTGAAGAACTAGACCCAGGAGCAACCTAGGAATAAAAAGGGTGCCCTTTTTGGTTTTAGGGGGATTATAAGGGAACCCCAACCCTAAAAAAAGGAAAAAAAGGGCCTACTCCCGGTCCTAGAGAATCAGAATGTATCTCCCGCCTGCCATCTTCGGCGCGAGGTGCTTCGTAAGCTACAGCTGAGCTCAAACTAAACTAGCAGGGTGGGCTTTGACTTCTCAGCAGCTCTCGAAGCATCAGCATGCAGCAAAAAAGAACAGTGTTACAGTACTGCTGGGACGAGGAAGCACTGAAACACACATGAGAACCAACATGAGAAGGACGGTCTGAGATGGAAGAACTGCATAGATACGATGAGTACCGCACTACCCTCGTGTGGAGCCATCAGAAGCGGCGCGTGGGACACAGAAGTCCACAGCATCAGATCATCTCCGACCTTTGGTCTGAGCAGTTTGGGGAGATCCGAAAATTTACAGGGGGTGTGCCCTGCTTGGGCTCGCACAGTAAAGATTGTGGCAGTTTGGGATAGCCTGCAAGTTTTAATAGGCGGACATCCGCCTGGCTAAATGTCCACCTCCGCTTTTCCAAATCCCGACAGACTGCAAATCCAACAACTCACATCTGGTCTCAGATCATGCTGGAGCGCTGGGATGCGTCAGGGCAAGCTGTCAGTTGGGGCAAGTCAGCAGCTTTTTGCAATGGCAAGCACTACATGCATTTCACGGGAGGCATGTGTAGCCCACCATGAATTCCTGCTATTGTGAGCCCTGCCGGCTTCTTCCTTCCATTGAGCTCTGCAGGCGCCATGTGCAGCGTGTGCTGTACAGTGCATGCGTGTATCATAAATACATGTCTACATGTGTGTGTGTGTGTGTGTGTCATATATATATATATATCTATATATGTATATATGTATGTATATGTATATATATATATATATGTATGAATATATATATATATATATATATTAGTATACTATTTCAAAAGCTGGTCTGGCCGGCAGAGGACAACAGACTGTGCAGACTGCAGAGGCCATGCAGGCTGTGCAAGCCATAACAACAGTTCATGGGTGCCTCAGGCACAGGCAGTGAGTCCTCAAAGGCAGGGTTTAGGGTTTAGGGTTTAGGGTTTAGGGTTTAGGGTTTAGGATGGTTTAGGGTTTAGGATGGTTTAGGGTTGAGGGTTGAGGGTTTAGGGTTCGCGTGCAAGTCGCATTTCTGAGAGGCAATGAACTAATGGACTGAAGGCAGCGGGAGGCTGTACCCCCAGTTCTCGAAAAATTATAGTCCCGAACCCGAAGGGTTTACGGCTTGGGATTTGGTTGAGGGTCCCAAAACCCAAAACCCAAAACCCAAAACCCAAAACCCTAAACCCTAAACTTTCAACCCTAAACCCTAAACCCTAAACCCAAGCTCTCTATGGCCCCTGGCCCTGCTTCAGTGCTTCAGCAACAGGGGCCGCATGGACCCTGCTGAAGTGCAGTGTGCACACGGCGAGGATCCTGGGCGTCATGTGAAAAATCTGCGGGGGCCCTAAACCCTAAACCCTAAACCCTAGACCCTAAACCCTAAACCCTAGACCCTAAACCCTAAACCCTAAACCCTAAACCGCAGTGATGAGTTAAAAGGGCTGTCAAAAGGCTTGGAACCGGCTTTAAAGGGCTCAAAAGGGCTCAAAAGGCTTCAAGGGTTCCAAAGCTAGCCCAAGCCCGCAGGAAAGAAAATTGGCTCCGGCAACTGCCAATTTCATACAAACTTTGGGGAGGGGGGAGCTAGGGGCACCCTAAACCCTATAACCTCTCTGCATCTGACCGACTTATTCCAAAACTCAACGCGGTCTAAGAATAGACCTGTCGGGTCGCAGGTGGGTGGGTTTTGTGGGTTTAGGGCTTCGGGTTTAGGGTTTCGGGTGTCGCGATGATGTGGAAGGACTCCTCGCTCGCTCCGATCGGCTTCGCATTGCGGGTTTTTTTCGCTTGATGATTCGTGCTCATGTTTTCATGCGGGAGGGCGCCCGTTTCGAACTTCAAGATGCAGATCTGTCCCAAGGTTCGGCATTTGGCTCGAGGCCTCTAGAGTCCTTGGTCGTTTTTGTTTATCCATCGAAAGTCGGTGCTGCGGTGTGGTATGAGTCTGTTGTGGTCTACGCCCCTGAAGGAAGGGATGAAGGTTTTTTGGCGTCTCATTCTGGGGCGGCCTTACGGGCTCTTCGCCTGCGACCTGCAGAGTCCTCCACGCTGCTCCGTCACCGGCCGAGGGCTTGGGAGGCGGATCCCTCGCCTTCCGGCTTCGTTGCGTTCGCCCCTCCTCAATTGCCCGGGCACACTCAGATTAGGATTAGGGTTGTCTGGGCGTTTGGGCGTTGGGGGTTTGGGGGTTTGAGGGGTTTGGGGGTTTGGAGGTTTAGGGGTTTGGAGGTTTAGGGGCTTAGGTTCTAACAAGACCTCCGACAGCAAGCGCTCATCGGACTTGAAACCGGCTGAGGCGGTTGTCATTTGCGACATTGTGGGGCTTGCGACGACCCTGTGTCTGATTCCGGTGCACGAAGAGGACTGACTCCAACCACGGAGTCTCTATCGTCGATTCTCAGTTTCTTCTTGTGTCGCTTTACTGTTGCTCTTAGCATTGTTATTGTTATTTTCCTCTTCTACTATAACTATTCGCATTGCTATTGTAAGTATATTGTTGTTTGGTGCCCCAAAGATGCAAAGCACAACAACGTAGACCTATATGTATGTAAATGCGTGTATAGATATATTTGTATATTCGGTGCCGTGTACTTACTTAGCATGGCAACTGCAGTTCATGGGGAAGCACGTAGCAAGTTTGTACTCACCGTGTTGGGACGTAAAGTTAGTTCCGTTTTCGCTTGGGTTTCGAGAGCATTCGTGTGCATGCAAACAAGGTGGGCAGCAGGGATTGCCAAGTGCATGGATTCAAGTTGCGGAAGTCTGAAGATCGTCCTGCTTGCTGGCAAAAGCAGGACATTTCTGTGAGCACGCCTTCTGCTTTCATGTAGTCGTCGTTCGGGCACGGATGCTCTGGCAAATGCATGCACTGGAAGCACGAATGTCGCCATCATCCTAAACCCTAAACCCTAACTCGTGGATGCGCTGGCCATACGCATGCACCGCTTTGGCACTGGACATGCTGCGGGGCCACCGCGCGGGTTCTGAATCGACATTTAGAGACACTCCTTGTTTGGGGTTTAAGGTTTAAAGTTCAAGGTTTAGGGTCTAGGGTTTACGGTTGAAGGTTTCGGGTTTAGGGGCACTACCCCCCTCCAGCTACAGACGATCACGCCGTCAATCTCTCAACCGGGCTTTTCCGTGCCACAGCTGCGCGGAGAGGAGCCCGAATGAGCCCGAGATGATTTCTTGAAGTCTTCGGCTCCCGAAACACCTCTGACTCAGGAGCACCTCAATGCATGGCTCTCCGCCAGTTCAAACATGGCGTGAACTTGCGGGTTCACTTGGCGCCCACATCTCCAGGTCCTTCAGAACCTGTGTGCCCTCTTGCGTAAGACAAGCGAGAGAAGCTAAGAACAAATCCCTTGGAACTTCTGAGCGGCTACCATGCCGACGCCCTCTGCCAGACTCTCTATACAAGCTCAAGCTCGACCTAGCCTGCTTTCAATACTTCATCCCTCAACGCTTGCGCCTGATACGACTTCATGGGGAGATAGTTAGAATCATAATCAGGGTAACTATGGTTGTCACCGGTCGTGTCACCTTACTTGGGGCTCTTCGAACTTCCTATACCCTAAACCCTAAACCCTAAACCCTAAACCCTAAACCCTAAACCCTAAACCCTAAACCCTAAACCCTAAACCCCACAAACCTCGAAGAAGGGAGCCATTTGAGTGCTCCCATACCGAAGCCCCGAACTGAAGGACCCAGAGCTGGCGGCTGCTCCATGCCACCATTCAGGGCGCGAAAGACTGGGAGCTTCCAGAAAAGTAGGGCTCTTGTTTCCTTTTTTTTTGAGGGGGGGGGGGTAGGGTTTAAGGGTTTAAGGGTTTAAGGGTTTAAGGGTTTAGGGTTTAGGGTTTAGGGTCTAGGGTTTAGGGTTCAGGGTTTAGGGCCCCCACTTTGGGAAACTCGCGCGGAGCACAAAAAGGTACGACCCAAGCGCCTTTAAACCGTGGGGCGGCCAAGAAGCCATCTGGGTGCCGAAGCGGCGGACCAGACGGTTTAGGGTTTAGGGTTTAGGGTTTAGGGTTTAGGGTTTAGGGTTTAGGGTTTAGGGTTTAGGGTTTAGGGTTTAGGGTTTAGGGTTTAGGGTTTATGGTTTAGGTTTAGGGTTTAGGGTTTAGGGTTTAGGGTTTAGGGTTTAGGGTTTAGGGTTTAGGGTTTAGGGTTTAGGGTTTAGGGTTTAGGGTTTAGGGTTTAGGGTTTAGGGTTCTCCCGACCCCGCGCTGTTGGCCCACAACCAATTTCCCATGATCATTCATACGTTTATTTCGCATTCGGGTACCCCAAATAAACCCCCCCCCCCCGCCCCCAATGTGCGACAATGCTTGTGAAAGGTTTGGGAACCCCCCCCCCCCCGCCCAACCTGCCCCCCCCCCCCCCCCCCCCCCCCCCCCTCTTCGGGGTGTAGGCTTCATCCCTCCAGGCCCCTTAGGGTTGAGGGTGTTCCGGGTTTGGGGCTTTAGGGTTTTTGGGTTTAGGCTTTAGGGTTTTTGGGGCTAAAACTTCGGGGTTCAGGGTTATATAAGGGTTTAGGGTTTAGGGTTTGGGGTTTGGGGTTTGGGGTTTAGGGTGACAGTCTTCTTCTGGTCAGCCAGTTCTGGCTAGAGAGCTTCTCAGCAGCGCAGCAAGGGAAGTGTAAAGCAATTCGGTGTCAGCCCCCGAGCTCAATCCCCTAAACCCTAAACCCTAAACCCTAAACCCTCGTTACTAGGATGGCCCTTAAGACACTCCGAAAAATATTGCCACATGTTATCCTCTCTAAATAACCCAAATAAGGGAAAATGCAAAAAATGACCCAAGGGCCTACCTAGGTTAGGCGAGACTTCTGCATTTCGCGCTTTAGGGTTTCAGGCTTTCGGGCTTGCTTAGACGGGTTGCGGGGGCTCCGGGGTTGGGACACCACAGGGTACCGACACGGGACACGGAACCAAACGCAAGGCTCCGTATTCTCATAAAGCGCGGAGCCCCAAGAAGCTTACGAAATAGAGAACCGCCCCCCATGGCAGGGCCAGTCTCTTGCTGGGTACAGCGCTGGACCACGTCCAGCTAGAAAGGTGCGAACCGATCGGGACGATGAAAAGACATGACTCCTGCCATGGGCCGTCGCATCCAACCAGCTGCCGAACTTCAAAAGCCCGAGGGTTTAGGGTTTAGGGTTTAGGGTTTAGGGTTTAGGGTTTAGGGTTTAGGGTTTAGGGTTTAGGCTTTAGGGTTTAGGGTTTAGAGTTTAGAGTTTAGGGTTTAGGGTTTAGGGTTTAGACAAGAAAGCGCTAGCCGCGTCCCATCGGTCTGCTCGTGTAGCAAGACATGGATTTGATGATTGAAATGTGCCGGCAGGCAAGCAAAAAAGCTCGTCCGATGCCGCCACTTGTGTTTTTATATCTTTCACGCTACCTTCACACAGTCGCACAACAAGTCTCGATGTCGATGCAGGCCCACGATCAGAGCCATTTAAAAAAGGATCAAAGCCTGCATCACCAATAGAGCGAGACTTCATGACTATGCTACTGGTAGGAAGCTTCAACTGCCGAGGTGCTCCTCACTGCATCACATTAGAGTCTTGGAGAAATGGTTGATTGCTGCACGTCGTACCGCTACCACCGTCTCAAACTCCCGCGGGTGACTCTCAACGTCCTGCAGGTATTGATTCAGTGTCTTGACCTTGGTACGCAGCAGGCAAAAATGAAGATGCACTTCCTGTTTCACTTGTGTGACACTGCAATAAGCCTCCTTTCCCCCTTCCCCCTCCGGGCCCTGAACCCTCGAAACTAACGCCACATCAGCAAAGGGACATAGAGCTTGTGCGTTCCAAAGTCCGGCGCTTGAGTGGCCTGTGGCAAGGGCAGGGCTTTCTTGGAGATCATCGTTCCAGGAGCAGCCAGAACTGGGTCGACTTCCATGCTCGACGTGCACCCCATGGCTGCTTCTCGCGCACCGGTGTTTTCAAGAAAGGAGCAGGCAGCTTGATCCGGAAACTTGGCAATATGAAGAGAGTCCAGCCTTTAGCGCCCTTGACAAGCTTGAGTGCCGACGCAAGCCAAAAATTGAGGCAGCCGGTATCTGAATGTAGGGCTCAGGGCTTAGGTGATAGGGCTTGGGGCTTCGGCCTTCGGGCTTCAAGCTTCGAGCTTGGGGCTTGGGGCTTAGGGTTTCAGGAGGGGTTTAGGGTTTAGGGTTTAGGGTTTAGGGTTTAGGGTTTAGGGTTTAGGGTTTAAGGTAAAAACATTACTGCCCACGCGGTTTTATGGCTCGCAGTATTGGAAGGATGAATCGCACCAACATCGGGCTTGGGTCTTTAGGCCCGAAAGGGCTTAAAACCCTAAACCCTAAACCCTAAACCCGAAACCCTAAACCCGAAACCCTAAACCCTAAACCCTAAACCCTGGATGTGTAAGCCTTAAGGCGGGCTTGTGGAATTTGAAGGTCTTCGGCTTAGCATAGAGGTTGCAGTTGAAGAGGCACCTGCAGGCCCTACAAGCCCGTCGGGGTTTTGTAGGATTCAGGGTTTAGGAATTAAGGGCTTAAACCCTATACCCTAAACCCCAAGCCCTAAACCCTAAACCCTAAACCCTAAACCCTAAACCCTAAACCTTTTAACCCTAAACTCGAAACCCGTAAGGTGTAGTGTTTGGGTCTTTTGAGGCTTCCGCGTCAGAACGTCTATCCTCCAACTCAGGGCCGAGATCCCCGCGCATGCAGGGTAGAAGATCCTGGCCTGCTAACAGTGAGGTTTAGGGTTTAGGGTTTAGGGTTTAGGGTTTAGGGTTTAGGGTTTAGGGTTTAGGGTTTAGGGTTTAGGGTTTAGGGTTTAGTTAGGGTTTAGGGTTTAGGGCTTAGGGTTCAGGGTCAGCTGTAGATTCAATGTGTGGGGGTTTGGAGTTGGGCTGTAGGATTGTTAGGTTTTAGGGTTTCAGCTTTCGATTCAAGGTGTGGGGTTTTGGGGTTGCGAACCCTAAACCCTAAACCCTAAACCCTAAACCCTAAACCCTAAACCCTAAACCCTAAACCCTAAACCCTAAACCCTAAACACAACTCTGACAGAACGGCGATGGATGCAGAGTTTCGAGCCCTCGGTTCTCTCAGTGCAAAGCTGACCCTAAACCCTAAACCCTAAACCCTAAACCCTAAACCCTAAACCCTAAACCCTAAACCCTAAACCCTAAACCCTAAACCGGCGGGGGGTATTTTTTGTTTTAAAAGGTGTGGCTCGGACGCTTTTTTTTAAAAGGTGTGGCTCAGCTTGGCTTCGCAAATACTGTAAAAAGCAGCATTTCTGCGTTTAGAGAGGCTGCAAATACTGTAAATAGCAGCATTTCTGCGTTGTCAGAGGCTTCAAATACTTCAAATGGCAGCATTTCTGCATTGTCAGAGGCTTCAAACACTGTAAATAGCAGCATTTCTGCGTTGTCAGAGGCTGCAAATACTGTAAATAGCAGCATTTCTGCGTTGTCAGAGGCTGCAAATTCTGCACCAATACTATAAATAGCAGCATTTCTGCATTGTCAGAGGCTTCAAATACTGTAAATAGCAGCATTTCTGCGTTGTCAGAAGCTTCCAAGACTGTAAATAGCAGCATTCCTGTGTTGTCAGCGGCTTCCAATACTGTAAATAGCAGCATTTCTGCGTCAGAGGCTTCAAGTACTGCAAATAGCAGAATTTCCGCGTTGCGTTGGCTGCAAATACTGTACGTAGCAGCATTTCTGACATCAAATGTATATAGCAGCATTTCTGGGTTTTTCAGACGCTGCAACGAAGGGCATTAAATCGCAGCATTACTGTGTTTTCAGAGGCTTCAGATACTGTAAATGGCAGCATTTCTGCGTTGTCAGACACTGCAAATACTGTAAATAGCAGCATTTCTGTGTTTTCAGAGGTTGGATATAAATCATATGCTCTTATACAAACATGTAAATATAAATAAATAATATATATATACATATATATATACAGTTATTTGTTGATTTATATGTATTATTTCAAAATTGTATACGATAATATGCTATGTAGTATTGTATATATACATATATAGATATATAATACACTATCTATCTATCTATCTATCTATCTATATATATATATGTATATGTATATGTATATGTATATGTATATGTAAATGCAGATGTAAATGTAAATGTATATGTATATGTAAAAGCGGGGGGGTTGGGGGGGGGGCGCAGCCCCCCCCCCCCCCATTTGCAAACTCAATGCTTGCATGTAGGTTTCAAGATTCATATGCTTTGAAGCAAGCTTGCACGGCTTAAAAAAGCGGGGGGGTTGGGGGGGGCACAGCCCCCCCCATTTGCAAACTCAATGCTTGCATGATGGGTTTCAAAAAGATTCATATGCTTTGAAACAAGCTTGCACGGCTTAAAAAAGCGGGGGGGTTGGGGGGGGCGCAGCCCCCCCCATTTGCAAACTCAATGCTTGCATGATGGGTTTCAAAAAGATTCATATGCTTTGAAGCAAGCTTGCACGGCTAAAAAAAGCGGGGGGGTTGGGGGGGGCGCAGCCCCCCCCATTTGCAAACTCAATGCTTGCATGATGGGTTTCAAGATTCATATGCTTTGAAGCAAGCTTGCACGGCTTAAAAAAGCCGGGGGGTTGGGGGGGGGCGCAGCCCCCCCATTTGCAAACTCAATGCTTGCATGATGGGTTTAAAGATTCATATGCTTTGAAGCAAGCTTGCACGGCTTAAAAAAGCGGGGGGGTTGGGGGGGCGCAGCCCCCCCCCCATTTGCAAACTCAATGCTTGCATGTAGGTTTCAAGATTCATATGCTTCGAAGCAAGCTTGCACGGCTTAAAAAAAGGCGAGGGGGTTAGGGGGGGGCGCAGCCCCCCCCCCCCCCCCCCCCCATTTGCAAACTCAATCAGCATGATTTTCTTAAAAAGATGATCAAAAAGATTCATATGCTTTGAAACAAGCTTGCACGGCTTAAAAAAGCGGGGGTTGCACGGCTTCAAACGCGGGGGGCTTGGGGGGGGGGGGGGGGGGGCGCCCCTCCATTTTATAGTATATGCTATGTACTGTATGTTATACATATATAATATATAATATATAATATATAATATATAATATATAATATATAATATATAATATATAATATATAATATATAATATATAATATATAATATATAATATATAATATATAATATATAATATATAATATATAATATATAATATATATTATATAATATATAATATATCATATATAATATATAATATATAAGATATATTTATTATATATATATATATATATTATATAATATATTTATATATATATATATATATATCACATTGCAAACTATATATTTTACATTATATGATGTATTATATCATAAATTAAGATCAGGGACCACGGGGACGGGACCAAGGGGACCACGGGACCAGGGGACCAGAGGACTGCGGGACCAAGGGAACAACAGGACCAGGGGAGCAGAGGACCACGGGACAAAACGACGGGACCAAGGGGACCACGGGACCAGGGGACCGGAGGACCAGGGGACCAGAGGACCAGGGGACCAGAGGACCAGGGGACCAGAGGACCAGGGGACCAGAGGACCAGGGGACCAAAGGACCGGGGGGGGGGGGGGGGGATGAGCCACACCTTTTAAAAAAAAGGAGGCCCGAGCCACACCTTTTATAAAAAAAAACCCTGGCCCCCCTAAACCCTAAACCCTAAACCGCAGGAAGCGGGGGTGCTACACATAACGTTCCAGTTTGAGTGCCCATCCTTGGTCCACCACCCTTTGCTACACAAGCTGCGCCATCAGCATCGGTTTAGGGTTTAGGGTTTAGGGTTTAGGGTTTGGGGTTTAGGGTTTAGGGTTTAGGGTTTAGGGTTTAGGGTTTAGGGTTTAGGGTTTAGGGTTTAGGGTTTAGGGTTTAGGGTTTAGGGGTTTTAGGGTTTAGGGTTTAGGGTTTAGGGTTTAGGGTTTAGGGTTTAGGGTTTAGGGTTTAGGGTTTAGGGTTTAGGGTTTAGGGTTTAGGGTTTAGGGTTTAGGGTGCAAGGCCTTCGAGTTTAGGGTTCAGGGTTGAAGGCTTCGCAACAAGTCCACGAAACGTGTCGGGCATGGTGGGAGTGGAGATTTTTCAAACGCGAGACGTGAGAGCATTAAAGGCTATATATAACCCTCATATATACCTAAAAAAATATAGTCCATATATTCCTAAGTAGCCCCTAAATAACCCCCAAGTAACCCCTAAGGTCCCTTATAAGGGTCACTTGAGAGCAGCATGAAACCTGACGCGCGTCTCCTGCCTGCCATCTTCGGCACGAGGCTCAGCGCAAGCTACGGCCGAGCTCAGACGTACAAACTCTTCTGGCGCTGCGTGACCATAAGCATCCCTACACCCTAAGCCCTAAGCCCTAAGCCCTAAGCCCTAAGCCCTAAACCCTAGACCCTAAACTCTATAGACCCTAAACCCTAGACCCTAAACCCTAAACCCTAGGAAACACATGATACCCAAAACGAGGAGGACGCTCAGAGATGGAACTGCGTAGACACCACCGTGCTACCCTTGCTTGGAGCCATCTGAATGCGCTCTTTAGCTAGGTCTTTGGCCCTAAACCCTAAGCCCAGCAGCCTAGACCCTAACCCTAAACCCCGGAAGACTGTTCTTTTGGGTTCCACCCTAAGCCCTATAAGCCCTAAACAGAAAACCCTAAACCCTAAAGCCTAAACCCTAAACCCTAAAGGAGGCTGACCATAGCAGGGACGTCGGCAGCTTCAAGTTTGAGCTACTTGGGGATTTCCAAGGAAATTCGCATAATAAGGACTCTAGAAAGGGTACATAAGGTGGAGCTCTATTCGGGGAAATACCCATGCCGGCTTTCCCAACCCGATAGACTGCAAATTCCTTGCAGCTCACATCGTGAGGCCTGGTAGCCCAAGAAGCATATTATGAAAAGGCCACCC